CCCACCTGCCTGAAATCTGCAACAATAATCCCGGTCCCACAAAAGTCACCCAAAACCAGCCTTAATGACTACCACCCTGTTGCCCTCACTCCTGTTAATATGAAGTGCTTCGAGAGACTGGTTCTCCAGCACATCAAGGACTGTCTCCCCCCCATACTCGACTCCCACTAGTTCGCATACTGGGTGAACAGGTCCAGGCCCCTCCTGTACTGTCTCTACACCCACGACTGCAGTCCGGCCCACAAAGACAACATCATTGTCAAATTCGCTGATGACACCACAGTGGTCGGTCTGATCTCGAGGGGAGATGAGTCAGCCTACAGAGGGGAGATCCAGAAGCTCTTAACCTGGTGCTCAGATAATAACCTGGCACTAAACATTGCGAAGACCAAGGAGATCATTGTGGACTTCAGAGGAACAGAACCTACCTGTCCCCTCTCTACATCAACATCGAGTGTGTGGAGAGAGTCCACACTTTCAGGTTCCTGGGAATCCAGATCTCCGATGACCTCTCTTGGTCAGACAGCGCCTCAGCTGCCACAAAGAAGGCCCAGCAGCATCTACACTTCCTGAGATTCATTAGGAAGAACAAATTGGACAGAAAGCTGCTGCTGGCCTTCTATCGCTCGACCATCGAGAGCCTGGTGACGTACTGTGTTTCCACCTGGTATGGGAGCTGCACCAAGGCAGACCGAGCAAGGCTTCAGAGGACAGTCAAGGCAACACAGAGGATTGTTGGCTGCCCTCTCCCCTTCCTGACAGACATTTACACCACCCGGTGCCTCAGCAGAGCTCGCAACATCACCAAGGACAGTTCACACCCCGGTTCTCAGCTGTTTGAGCTGTTACCCTCTGGTAGGCGCTACAGATGCTCCAAAGCAAAGACCGACAGTCTGAGAAACAGTTTCTTTCTGAGAGCCATCATCATCATGAACTCTCACATGTAAAATATCCACTCTACCTCAATAAGACTCCTCCACTATGTGCACTATGTAAATATCCATTATCTGTATGTAAATATTCATAATCTGTATATATCCATCATCTTGTGCAATATTTCTTAAATCTTTTATTTCTTTTTATATATTTATCATTTTTTATCTTTATATTTAACTGAGCAATTTTGCACTTTATCTTGTTTTGAGCAATTTTGCACTTTATTTTTAATTTTTTTTGTTTTTTACTTGCACTGAAAATAGGAGAAGCTCTCCAATCTCGTTGAACACTGTATAATGACAATAAAGGGCATTCATTCATTCATTCATATGTGTCAATTACATTCCCCATTCTAAGGACATGAATTCAGGTATCAATGTTTAAACACTTATGACACTTTCATATTGTCTCTTTTTGGAAGTTCATTAACTGAGGAGGTCTGGAGGGTCACCTGTTCCAAATGTTAGCAGCCTATTAAATGGCCATTATAATCACATATCATTCCCATACATATGGGCCAACAGGGACCTCCTCCACCTTCTAGTAGGCTCAGTAGGCCTTTATCCTCACATTTAATGGAGCTTCATTATCACTTCATTTAATGGTGGACAAGCCATGATTTTTCATTTAGAAAGAAGAACAAAAGTCACCATTTAGAGGTTGGGGTTCTTGGTGGTATAAGTCATCAGACTTTAACCCAGGAGACATGAGCTGCTGTTCCATTTCAGATCGTAGTCATAGTCTTGTTTTTTGACCTGAGTCTCGTTTTCACTTCTCGACTTACTGGCCTTTTCAGAGTGTGGTTTATTGGGTTTAGGGACCAACACATTTTGGGAAGGTTCAAATAAGCATCACTGTTTGGGTTAATATACACCCTGTCGCAACATTTAACACACGTTACTTAATTTTTATGTTTCCAGGATAACAAGTCCAAATGAGATTTTCCATACACATATTCATGCAAATGCAAGAGGCTGCCAATGATATAATGGCTACTTTCTGCTTAATAATTATCAGAATAAATGATAATGTACCTTCTGGTCAACTAGAAGTGGGAGGACATCCCTGCTGTCCTCCTATGTACGGGAATGACGTAAGACAGGTATTTGATGGGCTGTTGACATCTGAATGAAGGGCAGATGTCACAAAAAAGCCAGTAGTTACCTGGGAAAAGGCTGCATTGTGGCAGAGTTGGTGGCAAACCAGATGTATAAATGGACACTGCAATACCGAATGAAAAACTAAATAGTATTTATGCACTGATTAAAAAAACAGAGGTCCCAATATCGATCCTTGTGGAACACCTTTTTCAACTAGGCATGTACTGATAAAATTTTTGTCATGTCAATGTCCCACTATTTGCTAATACTAAATGCCGATATGAGTGCCTATACAAATAACATTATGGTTCTAAGAAAGAGGTTTTATATAAGTAGACACACCCGCTGTTGTTTGGCTAGTTTGTAAAATCAGAAACTGCTTTGCATGGGCACTCTGCAGACCAAAATCTTGAGACACTGGAAAGACACTGCTACCCCAAATAACAGCGTTGAAGTTGAATGTCAGGATGTCCTGCAACAGGCTGCTGATGTGCTTTTTCAGACGTGCAACATTGGTACTGAGTAAGAGCTTCTGCTATATTTATAGGTAGTGTGTTGTCTCTGGAGACGTTCTTATACTGTTGGTTGTTGCTATTTCATGCTGCTAATTTCAGCCAACTCCTTACACTCTTTGCTGTTTTAGTTAAAATAAAATTGTTTGTATTAAGTGAGCTATTTTTCACTTTGCCTCTCGACAGTTTCTTTACTCAAATCATCATCACTTATCCTAAAATAGTTCCAGACTGCTGATATTGTTCTTCTGCTGCTTACCTGCTCAAGTAATGAGAGGCTGACATTACATTGCCACACAGTGGTAAGAGGTCTGCATCAGAATAGTTTAGACCACAAGTATATCTACACAAGCACAGCATCGAACCAATACCTAAGACTGATACTGATGCATCACTGTTTTTGACATTTGGGAGCTTGATGAGAAACCATTAGCAACAGGCTGACTTTCATCAAAAACATCAGTTTTAAAAGGTGTAAGCAAGTAATAAAAGCAACTTCTGTAACAAAAAAAACTGTATCTGGTGGTGTTAAGGGCTTTAGACAGAAGGAGTACTGCTCGTGCTCACTGGTTCTGACCCTTTCTTTTCTAGTGTAAATTCAATCAGATGTTCAACTGTGCGATATGACTTCTGCACACCAATGATTTCAGTCAATTTCTTGTTAGTTTAATGCTTTTACCAAATGTATTCAGCAAACTGACATTCAAATTTAACTTTGTCTCCAGAGTGTGAGAAATGTGGAACAGACAGAAGCATACAGACCTGGTTCGTGACAGCAAGCTACAGCTGTGAAACAAATAACTAAAGACAAGGGAACACTGTCAAACATACCTCTACATTTTGAGTTATATTCCAGCCAAACCAAACTGGTTTACAGAAAAGTGCCAGGAGCAAGATATGCAGTTATTTTTCTCACCAGGCTGACAAAGACACACTCTGGTTGCAATAAAGTGCACAACATATGTGTAACACATTACTTGAGTATTCATCTTCATAATTGCAGTACAGGTGAATTTCTCTACTTTCAAACTAGAGCATGTGTTTATCCTCCGCAGCAAATTGGGGCACGTAAAAGAAAAGAGTTGTCTAATCCCCTGTAACTGACACCTCAGAGATTTCCTCCACTGTGGTGAAAGTCTGGTGTCAGGTTTAGTCACTGGCAGGGAATCTGTGCTCAAACAAAACCCTGAGAGTGCAATACAAACTGTCTCCTAAAGAGCTGTGAGTAAGCACTCTGGCTTGTTTATTCCAGGGAGACCTGCTTTCACCAGGTCTTTTAAAGTGATCTAGTATCAGTGATAGTCAAATAAAGGTAAACATTAGCACCCTGAGAGCTGTTAAATGGTGTTTGCTCACTACATGACAATGTCTGGATATTTAAAGTTGATATTTCAGGGTAAACACTTTGCTAACTGCAATATAATGACTGAATTTATGTGAGAGACATAAAATACAAGCTGTACTGTATAGCTGTATAGCTGTAAACCACAGAAGCGTCCAAAATTGGTGAAATGCACCCCAATCTCTTTCTTGTCATGGGTTGGATGGGAAGATCAATACTACTCTCATATGGATGCAAAATGTGATGCTACAGCAAGCAGTTGATGAGCTCAGCTTTGCATAATAAGTGGGAACCACCACATTCTATGCTCAGTGTTTATGCTAAGCTAAATTAACTAGCTGCTGCATCAAATTTAAAGGAGATATGTGCATGGTAACCAATCTGCTCACTCAATTTTCAGAAAGAAACTCAAAAAAGACAGCTGCAACTAAAAGTACATTCAGCTGCCCTTGCCAATTCTACTGGTCCAAACAGGAAGAGAAAGCAATATTTTACTCATTTCAGCTACAGCATCACCAGACAGACAGAACAATCCAACAGCATTGCATGTCCTTGACAAATCCACCAACATTTTCTCCTTTCATTTCTTTATTTAGGAAGCAACTCTAGTGAAATGAAAGGAGCATATCTTGCCTTAAAACAATACTGAATTTTCATAAAATCCACCATCTACCCACATAAAAAAAAGCACATCTTGCAAAACTTCAGAAAAAATATCTAAAGGGTAACTTTCAGGCCTGGCTGAGATGTTATCGATGTCAAAGTCAAGAACAAGGTCGGTCAACTCTAAAAACTAAGCATAACAAACCATAAGACAGTTGCAAACAGAAGATCAGAAAACGCATTTTCTGTAAATCCCTTAAGATTTTCCTTATTTTCCGAATCATTTCATCATTTTAAACAAAATGACAGCTACCAGCATAGCATTCACCCCATGGATGAAAATACAAAAACAATTCAGCCAATTTTAGTGTTGATACACAGTATCTACAAACAGCTGGGGAAAGTAAACATAGCCCAAAGTGTCTGACATCAAATAAATTCTTTATTTCAACAGCTAGGATTTTGTTTTTATGGTTGAGGCTGCAGAAAATAAACTCAGTTACTCACTGTTCTTTCAGAATGAAGCAGTCCACGTTCTCTGGAGAAATATGTCCGGTCACAGGATGGCAAAATGTCGTGGTCCTCTGGTTATGACTGAAGTGACAGAGGGAGGAGAAAGAGGAGACAAAATTAGCCACCTTGGTTGCAGTGTAAACACTGTGAAGGCATCATGGTGGACTGTCACCCCCACTGTGTTCACAAGTACAACACACACGAGCCGATCATTCCCCAGAGGAGTAGCGAGCACAGCAGCTCTGTCCAACCACTCCACCCTGCTGGGCCTTCGTCCCTGACTTTCCCAGTCCGGTGTAGAATGTGAGGGGTGACTGCAGGACCCCTACCCACCCACTCACCCCACCCAACCCATCCTACACTGCCTGTGTGGGCCAAAGTGTTGGGCTCAGCACAAATGCAGGACAGTGCAGGCCTGGGCCTCCATTATAGACTCAGTCAGTCAGTCACTCTAAGCCTCAACCACAGTATAAAAGCATTTGACTGGGTAAACAACACAGGGTGGCATGGAGGGTCACAGCGTATGTGTGTGTTGTGGGTGGTGGAGGTAAAGAGAGCTGCTTTCCAGTTAATCATGACATGAAATCTTTCACAGTACGCAGATGATAATGATTGCTGTGGTAAATTCAAGCTTATGCCAATCTTTGGAAGTGAACGACCAAAGAGATGACTGCACTAAGTTAGTGTAGTCTCTAATAAAGGGATGCCTATGTCTACAAACTGACTGACAGGACACATTTAAATCAAAACAATTAGTTCATCAGTCGATTACTCAACTAGTTAATTGAACTTAATCTGAAGCTGTTATTTTGATGACTCAACAATCATTTTATACATTTTTAAGTGCTACTATTTGCTGGCTCCAGCCTCCCAAGCAATCCAATAATTGTCAGATTAATTAACAAAATGACGGTTAGTTGCAGCCCTATTTTTAATAACTCTTTTCAGAAATTCCAATGTTTTGGAAACCTTAATCCTAGCCACTTAATGAAAGGACGACTGCTGAATCAAGTTGTCATTGCTTTGGATTGGTATCTTAAACAATTGTGGCAATTGTTTATTTATTGCCGATCATACAACAGGCCAAACATCAGTTTTATGTGTTACTTTTACATCATTGTAAAAGACACGCTTTAGGTTTTGGATTATTATCAAAGAGCAGATTTGAAGACATCAGCTTCAGCTCTTCCATATTGTAATCAACCAACAACCTCTGCACTTGAGGCAAGCTGCAGGAGTTAGTAAACCCCCACAGACCCCCATGTTCAAACGGTCAACTTTACAGCAGAAATAAAGATGTTCACAGCCTGGTACCAAAAAATGTTTCCCCCCTTTACAACAACTGTGCAAAGGCGATATTTTCATGTAACTTGCATGTTTAAATTGCAATAGGGCTTAAAGCTATGCATAATTAAGGGTGTAGCTGCTCTGACTGACAAGGTATGCACCATCACAGGAGGTCTGCATCAGAGACATTTGCATGGTCCACCCCAGCTCCACTCATGGTCCACCTCTTTGCTCATTTTCAGATTACCCAGGAATTGGAATGAATCAGGCACTACCAACATGGCGACGACTGCAGCCACCACACTGATCTTTAAAACCAGTTTTCAGAAGACTTATGGGTCACGGAGGTTGATCTTTTTTTATGGACAGGCATGTAAGAATAGCTTCAGTTCAGAATGCAGTTTGCCACAGAATCACATGGCACAAAACAACAAACTCAGAGAAGAGTTCTGAAAGTGCTCCAGTACAGCTGCTTAGTAGTCACCAACAGAAGTGCAAACGTGATGAGAAACACCACGCACACTCAGCAAGCCAAGCCCATGTGTGTAAAGGTTCAAAACACTTTCTGCACTCTAAATACAATACGTAGTAACACAGTTTTCCATTCACAAGCAGCTCACATTACTCATACTGCAGAATCCTGCTTGATGTAGCAGAAGATCAAATCCTACAGGAGTACATGGTTTCCCAGGAGACCTGGTGACATGGCAGCAGCAGGCTCAAAAACAGGCTCTCAGTGTCATTATTAGCTCTCAGCACGAGATCTAAACACAACGTGTCACATAAAACTAGTCACATCTGAATGCACTGCAGACACCTTCTCTTCAGCTGACATGTGTTTGTGTGTTGCTTCCCGTCGGGTGAGCTACTTCCACCACTGCTGCAGGCATTACTATTATTAATGAAAGGATCTTAATTGTAAAGACGCAAAGAACACCAATCAGAAAAACATCTGCAATATCTGCCTTATTTTGTGATGACATAAAATAAATTAGGCTTCTCCAAGGAAATCATGATGGCTTACTTTTCTATCATGACCCCAGAGAACAATTTCTCACCATTACTGCTGGTGTTTTTTCAGAGATAGCAGAGAAAGTGTTCATTTTGTTTTTGTAATGCAGGCATTTTTAGCAAAACTAAAATCTATTGAAATAATACAATATACTTCCCAGCCCTAACTGTTAGTATTAAGCCTAGTTTCTGTTATAGTTTGGAGGAGTGTTGCCGTATTCTCCTACTGCCAGCTGCATAACTCTCAGTTGCTGCAGGCTGTGTGTTCGATTGTTAGCTGCTAAGCAAAAAAAAAAAAAACACCAGAAACATAAAGCCGTGAATTTGTAGGTTTCAAAAGCCCCAGTAAAGCACCTACTTTGGCCTACAGGGAACTGTGGTCACACTTCCTCATGCATGTTTGAAAGCTGGCCATAAAAAATCTCTACAGAGTGAAATGCAAAATAGGGTGTTGAAGAGCCTTTGCTCCTAATCCTCAGAGGAAAAAAGCAGCACACTACTGGAGATGGCGTTAGTCATGCTGCCAGAGGAGTGTATCTTAGAGGACAAAAACACCCAATACTCTAGATACGACCATCTCTCAGGGGGATATGCTCATTGTTTCACAATAACATGGAGCCCCGCAAGCCAGTCAGAGGGGCAATAGGAATTAACAACTGTCTGAACAGGACGGAATTATAATCGATCAGTTGTGGCGTGAAAAAAGAAACAGATTGCCCTGACAGGCCTCTGAGCCATGAGTTATGACTGAGACACTCTCTTGGCAGAACTGCAAAAAATTCGACAGCAGATACTAAGTGGCACCCGCAGTGTGTCAGCGCTGTTTTTACTGATCGACTCAGGTGATGCAATGTATGTTGTGTTGTGATTAAGGATCTGCAGGAAGTTGCAAGGACAAAAACACAGTGGTAATACTGTATGCTCCACCATTTTTGTACCAAAAAGTTGTTCTATCTTTTCCTTACACACAATGCAGAATAACTTAAAGAAATCATATAACAGAAAAAAGTAAATACCAGCCTGTCTGTTTACGTGATTTGGTCAGGATGGTAAGTTAGGAATATGCATCAATCTCTGCTGGATAGATTAAAATAACAAAATTCAATTATATTGGCAAAATGGTGAAGTTCTGTGAATAGTATAATATGTTATGAAGATAAAGAAGTCATTTACATCATTACATTGATGGGTTTTAGTATTCTGTAAGTGCAATGTATGTCAGCAACCACTTATTGGACTGTAACATTGAACTCACATGCATGAATCGAGGCATGCTCCAACACTATTTTCTCAATAAACATCAATCAGCACATCAGACATGATTTAAAAAATAAAGTCATTTTGCAGTGATGACAGCCAAAGGAACATTTCTCATTCACACAGAAGTGTGAGAACTAATAGATGCATGCAGAATTCATAATGATCTTATGAAATTAAATGCAACGTGTTAAACCTATTAGCTCCCTTCTTGTTTGCCAAACCATTAAAGAATAAAAGAGGTATTCATAAATGCTGAGGCCGCTGTCACTTCAAATCCTGTCAGTAAGCCCAGCAGTAAATTCGGATATCGATTGTGCACATTCAAACAAAGGCTTGTTTATTCCTGAACTGATATGTGAGGCACTTCTCCCGGGAAACTGATAAATCCATGTCAGATTGCTCACGGAATATGAATGGGAACAGCGTGTAAGTGTCCTGAGGGGTTGTTTATCAGCGGCTGTGATTTCATTCTGCAGCGAGGTTCAAAATAGTACAAGACATAATAGACGTGATAGTGTCATTTCAGAGGAATGTAGGCGACGATGACCTGGGCTGCAAAGGAGAATGTCGAAACCGGTGCTAAAAGCTTTATACAGCAGCCTCTTAACAATGCCCATTAACACCGGAAAATAAAAACCTGCGCACAATGTACCTTACATCACTGGGTCTTTTTAGTGCTTGGTGTATTTTTGTATTTCACTCATCGAACAATACAGCCTCAGTAGAACTCCATTGCTTATAAATATAATAAATGGCATAAATACTAAGTATCTCCCGCTCTGAATCAAAGAACTGGGCTACTTACTATGAGTCCACCAATTTTAAGTTATGTGTAAGTGTTCAACAATCATAAACCATCCATGACCTGAGACCAAGAATAACATCAATTGACAAGAAAGCAATCCAGACGTAAGAAGTAAATGAAACCACCTTTTACTTCCTCTACTTTCTTTAAAAATAGAAATTGTTTTGTGGCCATCTTTGGGAGCTGATGCCGAAAAAGAGAACTGCATTAATCCAAAACGTTATAGCTGAACTGGGTCAAATGATTGCATATAACCTGCGAGGGGCTGCTTGAATTATCATGTGACCGTGCAGTCTCTGGCAGATCTATTTTAGCTCATTTTAGTATCTTTCAGCTCATCGTCTTGGTTTAATAGCCTGTAAATGTACTATTCTGCTTCAGTCTCAGCACTCTCATCAACCTCATTTGCAGCTGCAGCAGACAGCTGTTGCTAGAAATACCACTCCAAATAAATGCTCAAGTATGCTGAATGTCAAAAGAGGACTACAGTGTGTTAGGCATATCAATTTCACAAGGCCTTAATATGTCAAACTAAAGTGATTAGCAGATTGGGAATTCTCCCTCCAAGTGGTCATAAAATGGACTATTGTAGCTTTAACATGAGTATTTTATCACGTAAACCTGTAGAATGCAGTGATGGTATGTGTAAGGGATAAAATGGGACATGTTAACACTTTCATCACGGACAGTTACTGACAAGCACAGGTAAAATAAATAA